CAGATACTCTAGTGAATGGAGGGGAAAGGAGGAAAATTAGCACAGAGCCCACCTACACAGTTTTACAAAGTATCCAGAAACAGGTGACTAGGTCCTGATGATGTTGGCAGAAACACAAAGGAACATCCAGTGATACTCAGAGAGTGATGGAGGAAAGAGTCGCAGGAGCACTGCACACACACACACACACACACACACACACACACACACACACACACACACACACACACACACACACAAGAACACCCCATCCACAGCAGACAGCACCTGGCAATTTCAACATTCCCATGTTTGAGTTTAGCAGGCTCTGCAGATTGATTCCTCCAGGGTACTCTATGCCAAAGGAAGCTGTAGAAAGGAAGGTGCTGTGAGCAGCTGTAGGAGAGAGCTGTCAAACAGAGGATCGGGGGAATGCAGACAGCAGCTTAGAGTCAATGGTGAGAAGGAAGATGGCACCGGGAAATACAGTGGTTCTCCAGGTTCCCAGTAGCTGGAAACAGAGCCTCAATTGTATAATATACAAATGCTGGGGAAATGGACACAGAAACATTAAGGAGGAGTGTTAGCATGGAATATCATCTCAGAAACTGAATGGAAACTCACATTTATTCAAGATATAGAACTGGATAATGAATGCTTCCTACGGTGAGAACAAGTGAATTCAAGATTTCTCTACCTTCAAATCTGGCTTTCTATCCCATTCCATTCCTCTATACCTCAGACACACTCATTTCTTCAACCCCAACAGTGCAACAAAATTTACCCTTAATACCTGCTGCACAATCAGAACTACATGTTGTTTAGTAACTGACACGGACCAGCCCAACCAAACCCAGTGAAGTCTTCAGACTATGAACTGCCAAAGGAGCCTCACATTTACACTGGCAGCCCCACCTTCGCTGAACCCAACAGTGCTCAGTCTCTTGAGTCAGAAGGGACCCAAGAAGCAGGCTGTTGAATTACTGCCACTTTGCAAATGAGCAAGGGAATGAATGACATTCATGTGTGAAATTCTGCCTCCACATAGGAGGTGAGGAGGTAGGGGAGTGGGGAGGGGAGTTAATTCAGTCTTCCAGAAGACCAGGAGGTTAAACTGGAATAGACTTTGAGATTCCAGCAGTTTTGAAACTTCAAAATTCAAAATGTGTTACAAAGCAAATCACCTCATCTGTGTGAAAAAAGTGAATGCAATGTGAACAAACAAATCAAACAAAAATAACTAGGAAAGTCTCACATGTAGAAAACATGTGGACTTGTTCATCTTCAGTCGACAACTCGCATTCAATGTTGAAATTGTGTACGAGAGTGCTTGCCATACTTTGGCTTGCTCCATGGAATAGGGATCTTGAAATGTCTCCAACAATTGGGCCAACTTTGGCAAAGCTCCTATGCCCCAAACACACATTCAATGAATGTGTCTTTCAAGAATGTCACTTCAGAAGGCACCCCTTTTGCTTAGGCTTTGACAACACAACTAATGACACCTCTTTGGCACAATAGTTTACTTAGAGCCCTCTAATATCTCCCTGAACAAATTCTGTCTTCCAGATCACAAACAAATCCTGAGGGATGTTAATCACCCTCTACTCATTTCATTTCTGTTGTTGTGAGAAACACTGTGAACAAATCAACTCAGACTTGAAAGGTTTTCTTTGGATTACAGACCCAGGTTTTCATCCCTTATTGACAGGAAGTCAGAGCAGGAATTTAAGAGCAGCATCTCACCCACAGTCAGGAACAGAGAGAGAAGAAGCTCAGGGATCCTTGCTGGCTTGATTATTTACTTACAGCCGGCTTCAATTTCTCTTATGTATTCTGGATGCCTTGCCCAGGAAGTGGCACCACCTGCAATGAACTGGGTCTTTCCACATTCACTGATAATCAAGGTGACAACCACAGACATACCCCATCATGATTTCAGTAATTCCTCAGGAAGACTATTGGAAACCAATGAATTGAACTGGAAAAAAAAACTATAATGAATAAGGTCACCCCACCATGAAAATGACAAATGCCACATCTTTCCACTCTTCCACAGCTTAGAATGTTTTGCATTGTGTGCTCATCCTGGAGTCTTTCTGGAAATCAAGAAACTAGACACAGGCCATAGGGTTGGGGGAAGTTTGCACAAAAGAACAGGAAATAGTAGAATACTGGTAAAGTAGATAGCAGAAACCTGGTGTCAGAAAGTTTCAAGCAGTTTGTAGAGTGATGGGAATGAGGTAAGGAGGGGTTGTGGCAAGGGTCAACCAAAGTGAAGTGTGCAGAAAGAAGCTATATGAGAACCCATGATCTTAAACACCAAGTAAATTCTACTGTAAGAGGAGGTGGTGGGAGACATATGCTAGGAAAGAATGTAAGCAGCATACCTGGGAGAAAAGTTTAATTGAGAATAGGGGAAAGGAAGTGGAGAATAGAGGGTAGAATGTGGACATGCAAAAGAAAACTAAGGATGTGTGAAGAAGCCTTATGAAAATGCACTAGATGGAAAACAATGTGCTATTTTATAATGAATCATTTGTCCTGTGTGCATTTTGCATGCATGAATGTCGGTGTGAAGGTGTCAGATGACCTGGAACTTGAAGTACAGAGAGATGTTAGCTGCCATGTGATGCTGGGACATGAACCCAGGTCTCCGGGAAGAGGAGACATTAATCTCCAGACCCAATATATGCTAATTTAAACAAAAATATTGCTAAATCTTATTTCCAAAAGCCATAGGTTATTAAGTAAAAATCTCAGCATTGCAAAAATATTACCTCCCTATTGTCCCAACAGCCTCAGAGGTGACCAAATAATAAAGTTGATTTGCCATTGCTCTTGGTTGCCCAACACAAAAAAGTTGGTAGGACCCTGTAGCAGGGACACTATACTCTTTTTGGACAGGTCATAGAAAAATCAGTATTGAACTCTCTAGGCAACATTCCCCCATGGATAATGATCATAGAAGCATGAAGGTGTTATGCTGGCTGTATTGATTATTAAATATGTTACCCATGGCTGCTCCCTGCAGGCCATAATACTGCACTGCCAGGCATGATGAGCCCACTTCTCTAGTCGTTGCAATTCTCTTCCCGGGGCTAACCAAGTATTCTCCTCACTGGATCTGAGGCCTGCTCCACACGAGTGAGTGCATGTCTGGCTCTGCAAACATAGTCAAAACCTATTATTAGTGAGCTCACAGTTCCTGGAAGTGTTGGGGTAGGACTTACTCTAGTTCTGTGAATGGTCATGTTGTTAAACTGCCTTCCATATACTTATGTCTGCATGCATAGGTCTGCACTGCTCTCAACACTGGTTTGAGGAACTTGTATTTGCAATGAGTAGTGGTCAGTGTAGAAACACATGACTGTTCTAAGTGCTGAACTAAGCAACTGTGAGTGCTCAGGCATAGATGGGACATCTACATCCACCTGTTCCTGCCATTAGGCTCAGGCAGTATTTTAAATGAGGAGACAGAAAGAACACAAGAGTCAGATTACACTGTGAAATATGTCCCCTGGTTATGGTATGGCTGTAGCACATGTGGACACATGACAGTTGTGGTTACCTGCACATGACCTGAACACACCAAAGCCAGGTTAATCTCCTGGGAGGTGCTGTCATGTCTGTACCTCTAGTGTAGGAGCTAGTGGCTGTTGATGGCTGCTGGAGAAGGAAGAGTCACTTCTGTCTGGGGAGACTGACCCTGGTCATCAGCGGATCACCCCAAGGCTCTGTGCACTTCCGAAGAACTTCTGGATACAGTGGTTAAACAGAAGCATACTGAAGCATACAGAAGCAATCAAAGGGAGAATAGGAAGTCTAGACAGACATTTATTGGCAGAGTCCAGGGTAGGGTTGCAGGGAGAGATTGCAGGTGAAGAGGATCAAGAAATTGTGTATTCATGCGTGACATTTCAAAGAATACAAAAGAGTAATAAAAAGAGATTCTCATCTCAGGTGGTTCCATGTCCTGGCAGGGTGACCACCAAACTAACAGCACAGACCACAAACTGCTAGCACCGGAAAGAAATATAACAGGTTACCAAACATTCTATCAGACAGCTTAACTTACCCTGCTTAAAACAGTGGTGCCACAAGGAGCTATAGTCCTGACAGGTGGGAAATCAAGGATGCAAGATCATCTAACCTAAACAGGAGTGAGGCCCTTAATGTATTTTTCTCATTTGTCTTCCTGCTGCTTTCCTTGGAGCATGAGCATTAGTTCCCATGTGACCAATAGCAGAGTAGTGCTGGAAATCCACATGCTCTCCTTGCACTCTCCATTTCTTGTTTTACTCAGTCATCAGGGTAAAGAACACTCCTTGTTGACTCAGGGAGATCTAGGTACATTTTATCCCAAACCTACCTGTGTTTGTGTCCAGAAGAGTGGCACATGTTGATAAGCCTTTTATGTCTTGCTCGAGGAAGGTCAAAGTGAGCCATACTTACTCACTACCTGGTGAGACTGGTCCAGCAAACCTTTACCGTGCTCCCTCCTCACTGAGTTATGCTGCCTTTCAAACCATGCTGCCTTACCCACTCACTGGTTGATAACTTGAGACAGTTGAAGTAGAAAATCCAGCTCCTCAGCCCAACATCACTAAAGCTATCCCAAACTCCTTCCCACAACCCCCCTTTGCTTTCGGCTTCTTCTGGGAAAGAGCAAGAAGAGTGTTGCAGCTAGTAACATGCCTCTGTGTTCTTCAAGTTTATTTCTGCCCTAACCATAGAAGGTGGGGTTCCATTCTTCCCCCTTTGCAAGGTGGGGGAACTGCTGGAAGACCATTCCCCCCGGCTGTGCTCAGGAAAGCCTCTCTGTTGGCCCTGTCTGTGTTGTGTGATAAAATCATGTTTATGACAACACTTAATATCCTGGTCTATCTAAAAATGATTGCAGCAAAGGAGGAGACTTCTATGAGGGCATCTGGGAAGGTTCTCTTGCTATTGTGGAGAAGGAAATGAATCCCACAGAGTGGCACTGAGTCAAAAGGAGAAACTGTGACCCTGCTTCCTACCTCTATATCGTTTGGGTCCTGGAAGCCCTGGTCCTTCTTATTCCTCTTCGAACGAGGAGCATGGTGTTTGTCTTCCTCATTGTCATCTCGTGTCCTCTTCCTGAAAATAGTTTTCAAAGGGAGAGGAAAATCTGTCATCATTCAGCAACTGACTTTTGGGTCCTTAACTTTTAGCCCTGCACCAATACCCAAATCTGTGGCCCTGTCTAGTTATGTACCATTCAGAGCTGCTCTGCTGGATTCATACACTCTGCAGGCATATGGTACCAGGCAGTGCAGGAAACATGTCCAACAGAAATTCCATGCATACCCAAGTCCAATTTCAAGTTCCTTAAGCCAGAATCTTCATTTGAACCAATGTTAATGACCAAAAACATGTGAGTTTTATTGTCAAACAATAAGGCCCACTGTCTTTATCCCATGAAATAATCACTCCAGGTTATAGGATTTTAGGCCCTGTCACAGGTACCTGTCAATATACGGGAAGTGCCTATCTGCTCTAATGTCCCTTTAGCCAGTGGCTAAGAACACACAACCCGTGTGTGCTGTTAGAAATTGTTATATCACCAGAACTAGTTCACCTGACTGCCACCATGACGTTCTGCCTCATTGCTTCCCTGAAATGTGTCTAAAGGTGTTTTAATGAAAGCAGATATGGTAATATATGCGTGTATTCCCAGACCCAGGGACGCATGGGCATAAAGAGTTCTAGTTCTATTGTCATCTGGGCTACATTATGAGTTCCAAGCCAGGTTGTGCTTTTATATTAAGAAACTGTTTCCACTTAATTACCAATTTTGTTGTGTTGTTTATCATTATAATCCTTATCTTTGTTTTCTTCTATTGCATAGGGTCTCACTCTGTAACCCAATCTGTCATCAAATTCACTATTGTGGCTTGGCTGATATTGAACTTGCTGTAATTATCTTGATTCAGCTTCATGAATGCTGGGATTCTTTCCTGATCTTAAAATTCTTGCAGAAATCGTATCATTGATTAGACAGACATTCTTTTTAGCTTCTTAATTAGAAACTAGTTTTTAAAAAGGTTGGCATTCCTTAGTATTATTGATTCTACTGATGCTCATTCTTTCTTTAGTCTTCAATCTTATGTTCATCCCTAACAGGCTGGAAGTGCTATTAGACTCTTTTTCTGTAACACCTTCCCCAGTGCATCTTTCCTGTTTCCATAAGCAATGTGCAATACAAAAATGAGAACATGGAATGTTTAAGCATATCCCTCCCTGGATCTACTTTCCTGTGTCAAGTGCTAAAGTCTTAAAATTGGGGAAATAGTCCAGAGAAATGAAATGACCAGATAGTCAGAATGGCAAAAGTGGCTGGTGGAAGTTTTCTTGAGTACCCATCGCTCCCCTCTTCTACAGGAAGGGAAAAATCAGTACATAATTCGATAGCTGTTCAACTAGTTTGAAGGGAAAATTAGTTTAGAATTGGATAACTATTCAAACAGTTACTGTATGACAAAGAAGTTGAGAGTACAGTTAAAGTTATATTATTATTTGTACACAGTGGTATTTGCAAAGAAAAACATTCTCAAGATGTTTTTCCAAGTATGTCTGGCATGCCAAAGTGACATCAAAACTAGTAGCTGGTCTTAGAGAATAAGGAATATTTCAATATGACTAACTTTCCTTCAAACACACTGTTTCCTTTCAAATTGTGTTCATAATTACATTAGTACTTTGGTAGTTTGACCCCTAAATTCTGTATTCTTCTGAGAAACCCCTACCTCATAAATGATCAAAATAAAAATCCAATGTAACATTTTAAGCTGACTCCAAATTTTTAATACCTTATCAGTTAACCTTGAGATACTTCCTAAAGTCTTAGTTGCTTTGAATTGCCTATGATCCTAGACAGTGTCCTTGAAGAAAGATAGGAAATATAGTGAGAGCCAACCAAAACAACACATGGAGCGACAATAACAGGCCCACCTTATTACCCAAGAAATTCTGTGATATATAGCATTTAGTTAAACCTCACAGAATTAGAGAAAGCACTTTGAATCTGGAAAAATCAGGGCTCTAGCTAGCTAAATGGTTTCCCCTTCTGTCAACTAACCAGGCTGAAGCTAATAAAACTGATTTCAAAACAAAACAGAAAATAGAAAAAAAATATGTAGAAAATTCTTACAACACAATGCTTGAGAACAGTGATACATATACACATAATGAAAAATACAACTGTTTTATTTCACAACACTCACTGAGCACAGACTACAGTAACAATATTCCTCCACATGCTCGATTATGATGAAGCATCAACCCTGGCTCCTACCTCCTAAGACTGCACACTGATGGCTGTCCTTGAACCATGAATATGTTGACCTCCTGTTTTACTGAAGCTTTCAATACTTTACATTTTAGTTTTTAAACAAAAATGTATATAGTGTAAAAAAAAGTTATCTTTCGCTAGGCGTTGGGTGGCATACACCTTTAGTCCCAGCACAAGGGAGGCAGAGGCAGGAGGATTTCTGTGTGAGTTTGAGGCCAGCCTTGTCTACAGAGCTAGTTCCAGGACAGGCTCCAAAGCAATACAGAGAAACCCTGTGTCGAAAAACCAAAAAAAAGAGAGTTTTTTTCAAAAATCAAAAACTGTAAACACAAGCTCCGTTTTAGTTAAATATATCTCATGAATGAAAATATTTAGAAAAATTATTCCTGTTCATTAAGAAGCTCAATCTCTCAGCAATGGGACTACGGATAAGATTAGCTTTCTGTATTTTATAATATCAACCTTGTGAATTTTCTACAGTGAGAATGAATAGTTACTATAAGGGAGGAATATGTTCAGAAAGGCCTGTAAAATGCATGACACTAATGGGTCCAAGAAATCTCTCAGTGAAGCAGAAATGCCAGGTTTCTAAGGTGCCTAGGCAATCCCATGGGATAACTGAGTTTTTGAAATTCTAAAGGGTCATGTCTCTAAATACTGGCTTTTTGTCCATAAGGCAGCAGCCCCACCACAGGAACCTGTGTGGCAATGACACCAGAAGAAAGGGCTTCTCCAGCAAAAAGGCTCCCTGCATGGCCTTTTCCCAGGCGAAGGGCAGGTTGGAAGGTGGAACAGCTGTGGCAGGGTGCATCACTGGCATTTGCAAATCAGGGGAAAATGCATCTTCCCAGCTACTTTTCTGTGGACAACTCAGAGGTTTGGATGAAAGGGAAGATAATGAATGAACTGATACCAGCAAAGACTCCAGCACAGAAACATTAGCCCTGCCTTTGGAAGTATGGCAACAACAACAAGCAGTGCATGCACCACAGGAAGCATGACAGGAGAGGAAGTCTACCCAAAGATTGGCAGGTTCTAGGACTGTAGAGGAACACTGAACCCAGAGGGGTCGGTCACTTTCAGTCTCCACCCTGGCGTTTGCTTAAATATTCCTTCTAAAGCTGTTGTGGATTGCAGGCTAAGAGTTTAGAGCACTGTTAGAAGAAACACTGCCTAATTATTCCTGCTGTGCCAGAATTGAGACTTGTGCCAATTCCCTGGACATACTCCTTTTACTCTGGTGCTTGCACTGTCTTCTTTGCAGCCCTCAACCTTTAAAAGTAACTGCCCCTATCTTGGAGTTCACAACACTGAGGTCATCAGTGGTTCTTCTCCCAGGAACATTCTCATTTTCTCCTACTAAGTCTCCCTGCCTATGGTCATGTCCTGGGCAGCAGGAAAGACTATGCCTTCCCATAGTGTAATTTCCTTTCATCTTTTCTCATCAACAGCAGTACCATCTCCTGACCTTCCAACTCCCTAATGGTTCCAAATCATACCCACAGCCTTCAGCCTTCTACAGCCGTTCACTCTACTGGGCACACTGTTTCTTACCATATACTAGGCCTGTATTTATGAACCCCCCTCAAAACCATTTGTGCTGCTCCTTTTCTACCTTCTCCCTGATTTGAAAATGCTCCAATACTAGACAATGTCTATGTTCTCGATCCTTAGCTTACAGTAGCCTTCCAAGAGCACCAACATCAATTCTTCTCATGCCATTCACTAATCATTCCTGGAATAGGGGCTGGCTAAATGGTTCAGTTGGTAAAGTGCTTGCTCCAGTAAGCATGAGGACCTAGGTTTGCATCCTTAGCACCCAGTAAGCATACTTTGTAACCCCAGTGCTAGGGTACCAGAAAGAGTAATAGGGAAGACAGGCAAATTCCTGGAACACACTAGCCAGCCAGTTTAGCCAGATGTTCAGTTCCAGATGTTCTCTCATTGGGAAACCATATCTCAAAAACAATAAATAAATAAATAAATGTAGAGAATAACTGGGAGACAATAGACCTCAAGGTCAAGGCCTGCCTGAGCTACAGAACTCAAGTTCAGCCCGGCCAGCTAAGTGAGACCCTAGACAGCAGGAACAGAAAGAAGAGAGTATCTGAAAAGAAGAAAAAAGTAGTCTTAAAGTACATTATCTTGAATGTTGCAAGAGGATTCAGGTGACTCATTTCTGTCATTTTGTGACAACTGACCCCAGAAGCAGTGTGAAGGGAACAGGAGAATTGGGAAGCAGAACAGTGTGTGACCTATGAAGATGTGGCTGTGAACTTCATCTTGGAGGAGTGTGTTTGGCATGATTTTTCACCACATAAGCTGCATGGATACATGATGCAGGAAACTTTTAGGAAACTGACAACAGCAGAGAGACAAGAACTTTGAAGACAACTACAGAAATTTCAGGAGAAATCCAAGACATCAAATCACAGAGAGGTTTTGAATGTAACAAAGATAATCAATGTGGCAAAAAATTCAGCTGCATTCTAGATTCAATTGTGAACAAAATCCTTGTAGAGAGTAAAATCATATGAAAAGGCAGGTATGTGGAGAGGAGACATCCATGATGTTCATTTATCCCTAAATGTTCACACCACATCTCAGAAAGGAAACAAACTAGTATTCAGAAGAGAGAAAGAAATAGAATGATTACAAAGAATATGGACATGCCTTCAGTTCTCCTCAATGGTTTCTGAACTGAAAATATACAAATCGGGAAAGCCTTCATTTGTTCTAGCTTCCTGTGAAAATATGTACGTTCTCAGATGAGAGACACTTAAAGACAGAATATGAGAAGGCCCCA